AGATAATAATCAAATAATGAGAAACAAGAAATAGTAAAGAATATATTCAAGTGGAAATCTATCAAGACTGTTTAAAAGAAATTCTATAAAGAAACCTTAATGAACAAGATAAATTTCAGTTTTACTCAGATAAATCCCTAATAGATTATAGAAAAGAAATAGCTAGAATGAGTATGACATGGATTCAAACAAGTGATAAAGATCAAGGGAGTAGTTTTCAAGCAGGTATACAAAATTGGCCATTATTCACAAGAGCAGAGCTAGTGGCAATAATTACAATCCTATTGGTAATACTAGTAGAAATCTTGGTTGAAATCTTATAGATAATCAAATATGTATAGCTAAATAGAACAAGTTGAAAAAAAATGATTCTAAAATGACTTATAGAAGATGGTTTAAAGAAAAAAACTAGTTTCTTTGGACAAGGATGCTAAATATTGTTAAAACAAAAAACATAAAATTGAAGTTGATTAAAGTTAAGGTATACACCAATTTCAAGGAAAATAATCTAGCAGATAAGTTAACTAAAGAAGTACTAAACCTCCCAATAATCCAGTAGAAGGATCTTAAATCTAACAAGATTATCACAGAAGTAAAATAGTAGGATATAACACTAGATAGTTCCATAAGGCAATTTATAAAAAAAATAAATAATAAAACAACAACATAGTGCTGGTCACAACAAAACTAAACTAGGGACAAATAGAACCTTCAAATAGAATATTAATAGAACTATTCATAGGACATAATATGGAAAAGACTAAAAAAGAAATATACGTAGGACACCTTTTTTAAAAGCTTATAGTGAAAAAGTTTTTTGGTGAAGCTAATTAATAATGAACTATTGACAATGATCAAACTAGTGATAAGGAGACCAGACCTATATCACAAAGATAACTGTTTAACATATGAAGAATAGGAAGAAACAATAAAACATTTTTTGAAATACCCAAGATATAAAAATACAATAAAAAAAATCTAGTCAAAAAAAGTAGAAATAATATATCAAGAATTAAAGAAATAAAGGCAAAAGCAAAAAGACTAAACTCAAAAAGAATACAGTAATATCCCGATAATAGATAAAAAAGAAATAAGAGAAATAGAAGTATGGACAACAAAGCTTGTAAGAAGAGTATTCAAAAATAGCCAAAACTCAATTAATTTTCTCTCAGGACTGATCAAAAGAGATCTATTAAGAGAAGTAAGAGAACTAAAATATGAAAAAAAAAAGATAAGAACAGTAGTCAGAAAATAGATACTCCATTATCAAAAGAATATTTTGAATTACTTTAGGAAAAAAGTGTGGAACAAATAATGTGAACAAGTAATAGTATGGGAAAAAGCTTGGGGAATTTTCTGAAAAGATAAAATAAAAAGATTTACAAAGTCTTATTCAATAAGAAAAAAGAGAAGGCCAAGAGAAGAAAGAAAGAAAATAGAAGAAGAATGTTTAGAAAAAGATTTAATAAGAATAATAATGATGGAAGTTAAAAATAACATGAAATGGTTGGGTTTTAGGCTCAGTTAGAATTTTGGCCAGTGATCTGTAATAGTAAATGCAAGCAATAATGTTCATAGTAAAAGGGTATTTATGCAAACTATAAATAGAGCAACAAATTACTTTCAAAAGTTGCATTTAGAGTTTGACAATAAATTAAGATGAGTGAGTTAATTAGTTTTTTAATTTTAGTGACACTGTAAATAGTATAGCTTATATTATGTTTAATAAAGTATACATAACTAACCTAACAATGGGTTAATATTAAAAAAAAAAAATATTATTAATAATAGAAAAAATTTAATTTTATAGATAAAAACTTTTTCTACTAATTTTTTGATCATACACAAAAAAGATGTTTGCAAAAAGTTTTTTACTTCTTTGCTAATAAAGTCTTAACACGTTCTATAAAAAAACTTGAAATCTGACTTCAAGTATCATCTTTATCCTTCCTCTATTGTTTACAAGCTTCTTTACTCAAAAATTTGACTTTTAATAGTTAAGAAAAGTCAAGTAATATCTTTGATATCAATAGTAAGAAAGTTCTCAAAAAAAAGAAGAACTAATTGTGAAATATCTGAAGGCTCTTTTAATCTTTGAAACAAGAGGTTTAGAGATTTTGTTGCAATCAAAAGGTTTACTTTCTCTCTTTTAAACTGTTCTAATTCTCTTAAAACTTTCACTTTTATGACTTTCTAGAGAATTTTGTCTACCTCAATTTGATTCTGAATTTTTGATGATATAAATCCTCATCAAAAATAATTGGCTGATATGAAATATGTTAGTTTCTGAAATGCAAACAAGCTCCCATTGATTATATTTACATGTTTTGATAATGTTATTAGGAATTGGAAAGAATATTTCAAAAATATTTGTCCCAAAAATCTCAAATCCCTTATTGAAGACTTTCATAACATCAAAAACTAAGTAATAAATAATATGAATTATAAACTCTTATCACTTACTTAAATTCCTTAGGTGATAACAAAGCTTTAATGAAAAAAGTTGAGATCTAAATACTTTTCTGGAGATATTTCAACCTGATACTCACTTAAATGAAGAACTAGTTAGATTGATACATTCAATATTACAAGTAGTAAAAAAGAAGATTTCTTCTGAGGTTCAAGTAAAACAAGAAGACTATTCCAATCAGACAGATTCCTTTTGAAAAAATATTGTTTTTATTTTAGATTTTTTTGATAAATTTTAAATTGTTTCCTTCCTTCAAATCGATTTTTTCCTTTCTCTTTTTAACTTAGCAGTTCATTGATTTTTGGATCAATTAACAATGACAAACTGTTGATAATGATTCTGATAAATAGAAGTCATCATCAATTTATTAGAAAAGTATAATATTGTTCTCAAAATCTGACTTAGAGTATTTATATATGAAGAGGAGTTAGTTATTTTGTGAAAGTCTATAAACTATTATAGATTTTGTTTTAATTACTCAATAAAGACAAGCCATTGTGATATGATTGCAGGTTAAAAAAAAAAAATAATAATAATAGAAAAAATTTTTATGAAGAAGTTTTTTTCAATTAAATATGTTTTAAAAAAATAGTAATGATATTAAAGGATAAGTGAAAAGTATATAATAAATTAACTTTAATTTTTATTACAAATACTATATCCTAATGAGATCATAAGCTCAAGTTTCATAAATAAATGTTATAAAATAAAATTTTATACTTTAAGAACTTAATGTGATAAGTTTTTTAAATAATATATAGTTTTAATAATCAATAGATAAGTTTTTTAGATAGCTTAAAGCTAAAAAATACTGTATTTCAATTTGATAAAACTCTTTTGAGAAGAGATTTTTTATTTGAATAAGAATCTTTTAAAAAGTTTAATTTTTTTTTTCTTTCTCCTAATTTGTTAATTCAACAATTTATTATTTTTTGAGATAGCCCGTTAATAATAATCTTGATAGATACTATAAAAAATCTAGTACCATCTAACAGAAAAGTAAAATATTGTTCTCTATATCTGACTTGGAATATCTAATTTAGACTTTATCTTGTTTAATTCAAACTAGCTTAGTGAACCCCTCATATTTTTTAAGTAGTGTAATCCTTTAACAAATAATATACTGTACAATGATGAGTTGGTTATCATGTGAAAGACTATACAATATTGTAGATGTTTTTTCAATAGTCTCAATAAAAAAAGATAATGAATGTTGAGAATTTTTATTTATTACGAACATTAAAAAACTTTTTATTTCTTTTTGCAAAAATATCTTCAAGTTATCACGATTGTCAACCATTTTTAAAGATAGTTAATATAAAACCTTTTGCTTATTAGAAAACATGATACTGTGTTTAGTCAGTTTTTTTATTTTTCATTTTCTTCATACCATGCGCAAACTTTTTTTGCTGTGTATTTGTCGTTGTTGACACGCTACTGTTAAGATTTAGACTATTGATGACTTCCGAGAAATTTTTTAAAAACTGGAAGTCTACTGGTCATGGAAAATTATCAACTTTACCAGTTCCTGGGTAATTGGCAATGAAACGGTATATTGTAGTAGGATCTCATCTCATGTTTTGCGTGATCTTCGTGATTTACAATTTCATATACAGTACCTTGCCTTTATCGACATCAGATAATAAGGTACGAGTGCGTGTCATGTTTAAGTTTATTGATAGAAAGTTATAATGTAGACAAGGTGCTAGTTGTTTGCATACGTCCGTTTAAATAGTTGAACGTCTAGGACGTCAGCTTCGATAAAAAAAAAAGAAAGAAACACGAAAGTTCTAAAATATCATATAATTGATCGCGTGATCAATTAGAGAAACGCCTGCTCGAAGCTACCTTACAACAGTATACCCCTAGTAAAATATCCTCTTTGCATAGTACAGGGGTATATTCAACCTTTAATGAATAATAACCATTTTGATTGATCTACTGTATATTTAATATTAATATCCCTTTCTTTGCATAATGTCCTCCTTGAATAAGACCGGGGTAAGTGCTATACAGCAGAGCATTTAAGCATGACAATGTTAACACCAATTGCTTATTGTTTGATCAAACAAATCTTATTACAAAGAGCTTTCGGTTAACATTCTTCCGGACAATGTCATGGTGATGCTTCCCAGATTAGATGACACATCCCTGCGGGTTTTGGCTCCCAGGAACATGCTATCAACTATCGGATCGCGATTAAGAACTCGCGATCTTGAAGTCTTGTACATCGGATGATCGTAAGACAATGAATGTGTCATGCATCGTCGCCCAACAAAAATGTCAGGCAATCAAGGAGAAATGTTTCGATCTCAATGAATCACCCCATTTTCCAAATGACTATCCATGCAGAAGAAATTAAAAGCATAAAGGGTTATTTATCGTTTGCATGTATAATTTTTTTATACAATCGTGCATGCGCGTCTATAACGTTTACAGTACACTCTTTGGTTTTTTTATTCATACGTGATGCATGTACGTACTTTATTCACTCACCATATAAACTTATATTTTTGCATATCTATGCTACTTAATCTTCTAGATGCACAGGTTCAAGAACATTTAATGTAGATGGTTCCCCGCCAACGTTCTCTTCTTCTTCGTCCATGATGATAGGTTTACTTTTGGAATCATCATCATCAAACCCCTTGAACATTGATGCCCTGCTATATTCGCTATCCCTCCGTTCATGCATAAAATTCTTACTTACTCCGCCTATATTTATAGGTCTGGTTGACAGGAAATCGCTAGGCCTTGTGGCCAGTGTTGTTGAATCATTACTACCGACACTACGGATACTATTATTTCCGTAGTAACTCGAGATGATTCTTATAGAACTTCTGTCATCCTCACTTTCTTCGATTTCTTTGTTAGGTTGCATGATGGAATTTCTATGTTGTTCTGGTAAATCATCATTAGTAAGATTGTTGGCGGACACCGTAGAAGTTTCGACAACTGAACTGTCAATCTTTACAGGCATATCTGAAGTCGGCAAGTGACGACCAATAGTTTCATCTTGTAAGATTAAAATTATTACTAAGCAGTTTATTATTATCGAGGCATTTTGCAACGTCTGTTATTTATCAGGGACAGTGTGAGCAGAGTGACACGTTTCGTCCAAAAAGAATTTAACTATGTTGACGAACCTGATGTGTCCAAAAATTTGAAATCGTGGGATTAAGAAAAGAGAGGTATTCCGAGGCAATACGGGAGGCAGTTGATAATGAACATGCAATAACTATTAAGGAAATCTGTTGTCCCAATGAGTGAGTTTTTTTCAGAGATTAGAATGAAATTAAAGATGCGATGAAATGTGAAACGCAGCATACAATAGTACCTTCAACACCGATTTTTGCCGTTTCATTTGATTCCTCCTCACGTAAACTCTTTTCCTTAAAGCAGTTATCATCAAGCATCCAAACGTAACAAAATCAACTACAATAAATGTCAACGCGGCGCACTCTATTAAATAACCGACCATCAGCGCTCTCGAAGACCATGGCGCCAAGGATTCCGAAATAGATATAATTCTAATTATGAAGCTGGCGAACAATGATATCATACACATGACGAGAATATATGAATAAACTTTATTTAAAAGTTGGGCCAAATTTGGATGATGTATGTTTTCTCTGCATATGTTTGTCGCCGCATTTTTCCATGATATTTGAATAATCGCGAGAAACAATGCAAGTAGCGCGTGTCCAAAATAAAAAACGAATCCATACACAAAGGTCGGAAGTCTATTTTCGTAAATATTGCCAGGATCCACGACGAGTAATATAAATGCACCTGAACGTGTGATAAATGCGCGTGAACAAAAAGATCTATGCATTTCGTGTGATCCAACGTTCGGGTATAGATTTACTTACTTATGCAGACGAAACAGATCCCCGGATAAAGCCAAAATTTTACATTCTTCTTCACGAATCCCATCTTCAGGTAAGTTTTAGAGAGGAAGTATAAAGCCATCGTGACAACGAGGATGAATAAAATGCTTGCCAAGAAGGACCAGAGTATCCATGGTGAGCTTGTTGCGAGTCCAATCCAAGGTCCCGCATCTGTTTTTACAAGGAAATCAATCACTAAGCAAAATCGAGTGATGATCGCTCATCGTACCGAAAAACAAAAAAAAAAAAATATATATATATATATACAGTATATACGTGCCTGCCGTAATGTTTGCATACTTAATCTTGCTTGAAATATTTTGTAGATTGATTACGTCCTGATATGATAGCAATGCTAATCCTGGTATGGATTGATCGAGAGCTTTTCGGTTCCCATTGTATAATTCATTTAAACCTGGGACGCCATTATTTGAAGAACTAAAGATAATTACTTTCGGAATGTTGGTGTCATTGTTGGAAGGCGGGTCGCGTTTGAGAAGAGTTGGTAGGACTAATGGCACAACCGATGATGCCGATGATACTATTTGCACTACCTGGTTAGGGACTTGCGCAACTTGCCCTACCCCAGAGGTTACTTGGGAGGCGACTTGCCCTACTCCGGAGGTTACTTGGGAGGCGACTTGCCCTACATCGGAGGGGACTTGCGCAACTTGGGAGGCGACTTGGGTGACGATCTGACCAACGGCGCTAGTGACTGGTGCTACGACGGGAGTGACATGATTTACCACGTTAGAGACTTGTTGCAGTACACCATTAGTGGCTTGGCTTACTACGTTGCTTACTTGTTGTATTACGTTGCTGGGTTGCACGTTGATGACCGTGTTTCCTGGTTGTGCGATAGGGGTTGTTTGTTGAGGTGGTGATGTTTGTGTACCCTGTGTGTTTGGTGTAGGTACATTTCGATTTTGTGTATTATCTGCTCCGGTGATAGTTGCTGCCGCGTTATCAGAAGGTGTTTGAACCGAAGTATATGTCGAGGTTATTAGGAAATTGCTACTCGCCGTTATAACACCAACTGACACTTGCGTTGACGTAATCAAAGAACCATTGCTTGCCGTTGTAACCAGGACTGATGTCTGTGCTAACGTGACTAATTCACCACTCTTCACTTCTGAAACTGTGACTGCTGTGATTGTTGTAGGTTTTCCGTGTGAATATCCTCCAGAGTAAAAAATGGATTCATCCTGACTTTCGTCACCACTCATTTGATTTGTCCAAGAATTGCTAAATGGTATTCTTTTATTAATTATATATATATTGGAAAACAAACCGGAGAATTTGAGATATCAATGGAATCATACCTTGACAATACGTCTGCGTAGGATTCGCATCCAAAACTCAGTGCCTCATACAAGGGAATCACCAGAATGGCCAAATGCTCAGGCAATTGTTGCACCGTGCATCTACTCGAATTCTCAAATTTAGCGAAAGCCAAAGTTCCACCTACATCACCATAACTTGGATGATCGATTCCCATGAAATCAACTTGTTCATATGATGCAATTTCATTGTTTTCGTAATCAAAAACAATCAGCCTTGCGACAGTTATATTGAATAAAAGTGTAAGTGTCAAAACGATGACGATTATGATTAATGACCCCCCCGACATGGCAGACAGAAAGAAATGAATGTAGGGTTTGGTAAAGTGTTGGAAAAGCGGAGGTAAATTTTTATTGGAAGAGAATGTTTAATCCTCCGTGATAAACAGAATATTCTAAGGAAATGATTGTACAGGAAATATCATTTGAAGGAATGTGTTTTATTAAAATAGAGAGAATCTTGCCACCACCGATTCCAGCACAAAATGATCAAGAGAGAAGATTAGGGGATGCTTTTCTTATAACATTCCAGGGACAAAATTTTTTGTTTATCCGATATCAAAATTATATATATAAAAAAAAAACAATTTAAAAGGAAATTTTGAAAATGTAGGAACTCGACTAATTGAGAACATAGACCCTGTATAAACGGGTATGACAATCTCATTAGAAAAACCCAAATTCATGATATGGCGAACATTGTGCAAACATCGATTGCATAAATAATTGTTTGTTTACTTATTTGCATGTATGAACAATTAATAGGCAAGTCGCGCAAACGTGACCTTTGGACTGGTATGAGGATTTCGTGTACTTTCGGGAGAAGAATTATTGGGTGTGTAATTTGCATACCGGTACATATGATGGAAATTGGAAATTTGAATCAGCGGTCAATTTTGCATACCGTACATAAGGCGGAAATTGGAAATTTAAATAACAGTCAAATAATGACCCACCGTATTGCTCGGAACAAAGCACCAATTTAATCACATAAAAATTTTTTTATCAGGTCACGCTTCCGTGTATTTATTATTTTGAAGTACTATCTCCCTGGATGACTTTGTTCCGTACAGTATGGCACTTCCAACATACTAATCACAGAAAATATTCTTTTTTAATGATAATGACAATTCACTCAGAACCTTAAATAATAAAAATAAAGTTTTTATCTACTTTACAAATATGGATTTTAGTTTCGAAGATATAGATTCTGTATCGATCTAATTTTGATTTGTATCCTCAATCACGTTAACATTTTGCATGCATTGTTTACCGTTTGCCATACATTATCGAATATGAAATGAATTTTATCGGAACAGGTGTATCGGTGTGTGAGCATTCACCGAGATCTGATATAATCTCTCAATTATTCGGAAGGTGCTCCCCGAGCCAGCGTACGCCAAAAGTTTTCTACATACAGGCAAACATTAATTATCAAAACGTCATAGTCATTCCAAAGTCGTTAGCTAAATACATAAAACACTGCAGCAAGAAATTCAATCCACCATCCATGGAATACACAAAACATTGCGGCAAGAAATGTTACATAACCTTCTTTCTATAAAATAATCCAACAACTCTTGCATACAAGAGTTGCCTTTTGATTTATTATATATTGATTTGATACGCTTGGCATGCTTACTGAATACAAGAAGCATCTCCCGTTTAAGGTAGAGGAGATAAGTTATATTTGTTATTTTATAAAATTACAGCTTATAATACATATTTATTCTAGCGAACAAAAAAAAAAAAAAAAAAAAAAAAAAAAAAAAAAAAAAAAAAAAAAAAACAATAAAAAAAAACAAAAACCATATTTTGAGTATTGTCTCGACTCTTTTAAGCATGCTTTCAATTAAATTAATCTATACAAATTTAGGGATTCGATATCAATCTTCATATAATGTTTATATTCGAGCTTATTTCACGAACGTATCATTATTATCTAGCTCCGCTGAATATTATAAACTTTATTTTTATTAAATAGTAACAAATTATACATATATAGTATGTTAGATATTCTTGCTTATTTATAGATATTTAATAGAATGGAAATTCAAGTTTTGAGATAATTGTAAAAAAAAAACAACCGGTCTCTTTTTTAAAAATATACGGCTGCTTTCAAAAGTTTTGGTTTTCGCATGCTATGTTTTGATTTCAATTTAACTAACTATTTTGAGTCCTTAACTATAATATAAACTTTATATTCTATATGTTGTATTACAATAAATATTAATAAAAGATGTTTCTTGAATATAGTTAATTTCGATGTTAACAGTAACATTGATATCCAAAAGATTATATCATAAAATATCTTTTATTATAAACTTAGGATAATAAAATTTAAACATGAATTTATTGCAAATTAATAATTTTCACATTTGAATATTTTTAGCTGGTATATACTAAAATTTTATTAAATTTTCGAAAAATATCAATTTTTAAATTTATTAAAAAATCCACTGTATAATAAAGAATTATTGATAATATTTTAATATATATATTTGCTAAATAAAAAAGATTATTGAATTAATTAAGAATTTTTTAAAGAAATCTTAAATTGTTTTTTTTTTTCCTTTGCAGTTTTTAATTTAGAAATTTATTTTTTTAAAAAATAATTTATAAGAACAAATTGTTAAAAATTATCTGATAGATAAAAATCAAATAACAATCTACAGTAGGGAACAAAAAAAAAATTGCCTAAATTTTTTAAAAAATTAAAATTTTTATTATAATTTAAAATTTATTTATTTAAAAAATATAAAAAAATATTAATA